TTTAATTGAGAACACAGAGGACAGGTTTGACAATAAAGAATGAAGATCCACAGGGAAAGTTTCAAACAGAAGTGTTTGGATGTTTTATTCCATGAATAATGTACAGAGTTGAGATTTATTTTACAAAAAGAAGAGAATAGGTAAACCATCAGCACAGACAGAAATATTTTGCACCGTCCCAGAAAACAATGGAATGGACCATGGTTGTACAGCGTTAAGATTCGACATGACTTCAAAAGGCAGACAATGGTTTGCGTGGGTGGTATGTCACAAAAGATAATCCACTTCAAGTAGTGTGCTTTTGAGGTCAAGTCGTACATTTAGCCAAAAACAAAACAATGCATGTACCAAACATGAGATTATTATGTTTGAATATTGTGCTACAGAGGATAAAAAAATAAAAAAAAAGGCAGTAGACAAAGTTGAAGATGTAGCGTCAATGAAAAGACAGACCTGGTTCAAAAAGCAGCTGCAGATACATGGGTTCTTAATGACCTCTGCAAACATGTGCAATGAAAGCGTCAACTCTTTGATTGAAAACCCCGCCTCCCGTTAACAAGCCAGTGTGCAAACATCATAAAATCTGGTCAAAACAAGAAATGTTTGCAGCTATTTGACACAGATCTGTTACAAATTTAAATTATATAAAAAAAAACAACTAATAAATAAACTTGTGGCTCTTGCTATTAGCCATTATTCACTCTCACACACACACATCAAGCCAAAACTCACCACCATTAGGAATTTGCAAGATTAAAACATCAGATATGCTGCAGTACAATCTATACAGCCTATCAATATATATTCTTGCTACAAAATAGAGGCAGATATATGGACCCCCCCCCCCCCGGAAAAAAAAAAAAAAAAAAATCTCATAAAAAAGAAAGGAAATACACTCACTGGCATTTGCACCTAAAAGGAATGCTTTCATTTGGACCTTGGAATATGGAGCACAACCAGCGACGGTTATGTGAATAATTCAGTTTACAATGAGCTGGCATATGTTGGCGTGATATGGGGGGAATTTTGTTCCTTTATTGGTGCAAGCAAAGAAAATGTTTTGCGAATTTAAACAGAGAAAAGTTTTTTAAATGGAAATTTTGAAAAATAAAGCAGTACATAAAGAAAACATTAACAGCTTACATACTCAAAAAAATGTTTTAAAAGTAACTTTACTTTTACGTTTTTCTCAGATTTTATTTGACTTTTTTAATATATATAATGATTTAATATTTTCTAATTTTATTTTTTTAAATATCTCTTTTTCAGACTGAATTTTAGGAATAACATTATTTTAAAACTGCATTTTCCCGATCACGTTTTCTGCAGTTCTGGGAACGCGATTTCCTCTGGAATGAAGAGCGAAGAGAAAGGTTAGCTACACAATTTTATTGGGCTTGTGGTGAGGAGGTTGTGATCTGTAAAAACTAATTTTAGAATAATGCAATTCATTAAATGTAATCTGAAAAAGGGATTTTAGAAAAAATAAAAATTAAACATAAAAAGTCTGTAAATTAAAATTCAAAATATAAGGTTTTAAAAAAATGTGAAAAAATAAAATCTTAGAAATCAGGAAAGCTACTTTCAAATTTTTTTTGGATTATTACATTTTCTAAAAGCATATATTTTTAAATTTCTGTTTAAAAAGTGTTTTTTTTTTTTTTTTTGCAAGCAACAATAATGGCACAAAGTTCACTCCATAGTTGGGTTGTAACCTCTTTTTTCCAGCCACACACATGTTGCAGCATATTCTCATTATCAGTTCGTGTGAAATCGTACGAAAAGTTATGCACAGTATTTCGTACGTTTTTGACGTTTTTCCTCGAATAAACAGATCAGTGCGAATGCGCAACCAGACAGACGAAAAAAGCAGATACGCGGAAGGACGTAAAACTGGGAAAAACATTGCAATAATTACTTCTTCATGTCTCTAACTACGTTGCTTGCTGTTTTGTATATTAGGGTCAGGGTTAGGGTTAATTGTATGCTAAATTCTATGTTATTGAATGGTGCGTAAGATGCGCATGCACAAGGATATCTTGTCTTGAGGCAAGACGTAAAAATACAACGAAATACCACGAAAAAACGTCTAAAACGTACAAAATTACGGTGCATAACTTTTCGTATGATTTCTTACGAACTGATAATGAGAATACACTGCATGTTGGAGTTAGACAGTAGCCCCTTTGACAAGTTTGCAACATATACTTTGATCCATGCACAGGTGCTGGATTAATTTCAACATGCTACGCTAATAAGCTAAGCATTTTCACTGCATTCAGGACATCTTAGCTTCTGCCTTCCGTTTTTTTCTTTCCTTTTAAACATGCCAGCTCATTACCAACTGAACAAATGACCTTTTCAAATTAGAATAATCTTTATTCAGCACAATCAAGGACTTTGACTCCAGGTTGCAGTGCACACAACGCGCACATGCACAGTCATGGCCAATTAAAGATGATACTCATAGGATGCCTGAAAAAGCTAAGAAATGACGTCCAAATGAGCTTATTCCCTTTAGCTGCAGAACGTTTCTTGTCAATGAGTGTTTTTCTGTTTAAATGATAATAATAATAGTGCTATAATATAACTGCATACATTAAATGACACTACTGACTAACTTTCTCAATCCACTACTCTGATCACCAAGTCACTGGACGCCACCAATGACGGACTGCAGGTCAAAAGGTCATACCGAGCATTTACAGCAAAATCATTCACAGAAAAGAAGAATAAAAAAATCAGGTTTGCGTTCAGTAAATAATATTCATTCCAGGCTTTCATTTAAAAAGCAGAAAGAAAAAATAAGTCACCAACACTGTACAGATTAATGAAAGCAAATAAAGAAACACCTTTAAGGAACTTAAGTACACACTTTGCAGAACTAGCATTTTGTCAGAGTTGCGTCACGGTTGTCAATATTGCCTCTGTGGCATTTTGCACTTTACAGTACTCCAGGTCTTTATTCAGATATCATGGATGGCACCTGGTAGAAGAGTCCGGCAGGTAGTCACTGTTTCTTTTATGTACAGAAAATGCGAACAACATATCAGAAACCTGCATGTGCACTCGCACAAACAGCACTTCTTAGACACATTGTTGCTGTTATTGCGCTTCTCCGGCTAAAAACTTAGCTATTGCAAGGTTAAAATATTTCACTCTCATATTTTTACTATATATTCCTATATATTTATATACTGATAATACTATGGCTCTTGCATCACTGTAATTAATGATATGGATTATCTCAAAAATAGATTATTACTATACTATGTAGGTGCAATAAAGATCATAGATATGATTCTCTTCCACTGCCTTTCTCCACCTCTGTTTTAATTTAAAAACAAACAGCATGAGAAAGAAATTTAAACTATATTCAGGATTGTAATGCCACTAAACCTTGTAGCCAACTAATAAGGTATTTTCCCGAAAAAACAAAAAAATATACATATTCATAATTACATATGCTACAAGTAAAGTGAGTTCAGCAGATTTAAACTAGCAGTCCTTTGAAATTAAAGGAATCATTTGGATTATCAGTCTCTTTTCTTTGTGATGAGGGATTCTACACAGAGGTAACTAGTAGTTCATACATACATTAGATCATTGTGGGTTTTATTGATTATAAAGGTTCTAACTTATTAAGAAATAGGTCACACCTGAAAATGTTCAGTGCAGTTTAAGTAAATACTACCTAAAAAATGATCATACAGCCATGTTGCTTACAATAGTAATCCTTTATCCCTTTTTTTCCCCGGAATGGATACTTATTTTGTTGGATTTGTTTAACGTGTCTTAATGTTTACACACTTTTTAAACTCTATACTGTAAATAGCCATGGATTTCTATTTTAATCAGTAATGTTCTCACATAAGAGTTTTGATGGTCTGGTAAATTCAATAAGACAAATAATGGTTGATTTTCATGCTTTAGATAGAAAATGATTAGATTAAAAAAATCACAGTGAAGTTTGTTCTATTATTTTTTGCAAGCAAAAAACACATTCAGTAAAATCATATTTAAAAAGATGCAATCCTGAGCTGAAAATAAGAAAAATGAGAGCATCTTGCTGCTTTCTTTGATTTTACTTAAAAGCTTTATATTTCCATTGATTCAGATCTTTTTGGGCTTTTTTTTAATGTTTAAATTTATTTTTCAGTTTTATTAATGTAATTCTGTGTTTTCTTGGTCATTGGTTTCCTTGCCATTTTGTGTCATTCAAGTTGTTTTCTAGTTATATTTATGCAGTGTTGTATTTTTTGAGTTACTCTCTGTTGCCCCCTTGTGCCAGTCTCCTTTCTGCGAGCTCCCTTCTAGTTGCTTCTATCCACATCTGCTCCCTATTAGCTGATTAGCCCATTCTTTGTTCTGTCTGCCATATCCTTTCCAGGTCCTTATTGCTGGATTCTCTTCATTACTTCATTCCTGCATGCTTCTCTCCTAGTTTTGGTTTCCTGTTAATTATTTCTGGATTTATGCTTCTGTTACCACCTACAACTAAATTAAATCTGCAATAAATCATCTCTGCCTCCTCATCTCTGCATTTGGGTCCTCAACTAATTTCCACCAAACCTGACAGATATTATGTTTTTTAATTTTTTTTTATTTTTTTTTAATTCTCTGTCATGGATTGAGTTTTACAAATTGCATCTTTTTTTGTCAAATTGTGTTTTCTAGATCACATTCCCTTCACTTCAAGCCCAATGCAACACAATCTTGAAGCGCAGATAATGTGCAATATACTTTGAAAAGAATACATTATGTTAAACTCAATCTGACAAAAGAAATATATATATATATATATATATATATATATATATATATATGTGTGTGTGTGTGTGTGTGTCAAAAAAATATGTGAAAAACAACAAATAATATCTAAAAAGAAAAACTGTAAAATGTAAATATGAGAAAACAGCTAAATTACTCTCAAAACCTTATTTGATCAAGAAGTTTTTCAAAGTTTCCTATTCGATTTGTTCTTTTTTTCCCTAAATTTACATTTAAAATATGAGGTCTTTCCTTTCAACAATAATGGAACAAAACTCACTCCATAATTATTCAAAGCACTCCATACCAAAGCAATGCCAGGAAGGCAAGTAATTTCGTGGCCGTGGTTCGTTTTTCTGCTTTGATGAGGAATATTCCCTAATTTAAGTTTGTATTATCATAATTATTTTTGCCATCAAACTGAGGTTAGTACATAACCATAAGATAAGATAAAGGAGTTTGGGTTAATCATAATATACAGGGTTAATTAAGCGCCTGTCATTTATGAGGCTGAAAACGACATCAGAAATCCGCTTTATTCTGGCCCATTAGCCTCCCGTTTTAGTTTGAACTTCCTTCTCATCTGTGCTGCTGTCAAATGAGAAGCTATCAGCTCTAAGTAAGGTATTAACTACTCATACATGTAACCTCTGCATAGAACCTTAGAGAATAAAGGAAATCCAAACGATTCCTCCAGCATGTCGCTTTGGTTTAAGTAAGACTGCTGAGACCAGTTCTGGTCTTTTGACAGGTACTGGCATTGCTCTGAGCTTTAAGATTCACACACAGAGCATTAAGGCTTTACTTTAAAGAAACAAAAATCATGCAGACTTTTTTTTTTTACTTCTGCAGGGAAAGACAAGATTTTTGCAAGCTGACCCAGGAGCAGTATCAGACCTGAGCTTGCATTTTTTACCTTTAATGATCTACTGTAAGGTATCAGCTGACCCATGAAGGTCAGCTGAGGGTAACACAGAACATAAGGCTATGCTTTCACTTGTTAAATCACCTAGATTCTGGAGTCCATTCAATCTGGCAGGAAGGCCTGAGATGAAGCCCTCTGTCTGGATCGCCTTTATGTGCATTTAAACTCCGGTGATGCACAAGTCCTGCAATGCACTTTATCACACGGCCTGGCTCAGTGATCTGTGAGTAAAAAAACGGACTCGGAAGCTTCCAGATCTGCCACTTAATTCATCCCTGTGTGGTTAGATGGTCGAACTATGACACACAAGGTCCAAGTGTAAGCCTCGATAATCACTGATACCCCAGAGAGGGATAATCCGGGGCGATGCTGTGAGTGCTCTGCTAATGCACCATAGTTCCTCTAGGACTTTCAGCCCGAGTCTTTGCAATTAACATGCCGATATTCAAGTTTTCTCTGTGATGTTCTGTACTCCTTATACTATGTGTACAAAAATGTGGAGCAGTATTAGTCCCCAAGTTTCTTCTGTGCAGAGAAACAGCAGCAGTCCTTCAGTGAAACAGGGTTTCGTTAAAAGTGGAAGAGCTAAAATCAAACCATGGTTCTTCCAGAGTCCTGTGCTTTTAAGTCCACAGCAATCATTTAAAAAGTGCAGTTTCTTTCCCCCCCACTGAGGTTATTAAATAGTCATTCCTTTCGTGCTTTAGTGGAAAGAAATCTGCTGGAAAACTATGATTCCAAAATCCAATAAAGGAGCACATGTTCTTAAAAAAAAAAGGGCTGCTGGTGGGTGCAACAGCACGGGAGAGGAGGGTGGATGGTTTAAGGTTCTTTTACAAGCTCAGTTAGAGCGTTAGAGATGCTTTTCCCTTAACAGACGAGCAGGACTCCCTGTCTTCATTCCGAGTCTTCTTTCCTGGAGTGGATTAGAAGTGGCAATATTCTCTGTCACAGATATCCACCCTTCAGTTGCAGACCACAGACTATCACAAGATGTGAAAAAACGTTTCTCTTTTAAACTAAACTTTTTGTTTCCCTCACCATAAATAAAACAGAGATCAAAGCTAATGTCTGGCCTCACATAAAATCTGAAAACGCAGCAACTATCTCGGTTTCCAGGCCGAAAGAATCGATTCTCCGCTTCTTACTCATGAACCGCTTAATTTGCTGTTGATCAATAGAAGCTAAGAACTGCTCTTGCAGGCGGTCCCATTGATATTTCACCAAAACAGCCAATAAATGAAGCCTCATCTGCAGATCTCTGCTGTTTGCTAACAAAAAACAAGCCACACTGTGAGAATTTGACAACAGGTTAGCTGTAGCTGCTGCTTAGAGGCTTTTTTGCCTGATTTGAAAGGCAGAAACAATCAGGGCAACATCCTCTGTGTACTTCTTAACAAGACGTAGAACTATACGCTCCATAAAATGGTTCATTTTCATAGGAATGTCTTTGAATTCCCTGCTGTTGCTTTTTGGTATGATTTATTCACACTACAAACAACTTCTCACGCTATATTCTTGTCAAGATACTAAACCTGGTAGAAAGAGAAGTTCTTCCACTTAGATATGAATCTAAATACTCCCTTAAAGTCCTGCTTCAAACTTTTAATAATAAAACTTCTAAATAGAGGTAGACAGATACATCGGCCTGCTGACATTTTGGGCCAGTTTTTTCCCTCTTGTATCGGCATGGCCAGATACGCGTTATCATACACTAATTCTTTAGTGCATTCAGCAGCCGTGCATTGAGATCACATGCATTAAACCCTTATTTGCTATCTGTTGTTTTCTTTGATTTGTTAATAATCTTTTTAGTTTAAATTTAGACTTGTGTAACATTATTTTTCATCGCGAGGAAAAGATAAAAGCAAAACCCGCTTCAAGAAAAAGCCCACCTCCCAAAAAAAGCAAAAACAAAAAAGCAAATATCAGGGAACTGGTTGAACTGATGTCAAAAAAAATCATTAGCTGCCTTAACAACTCTGTACCCATCCATCTCTACTTCTTAGATTTATTTTAATACATTTTAGGAGCTCAGTATTTTAAAAAACAATGCCACTTTTATCACATGTCCAGGAAAAATCAATTTTCTCCGACATAAAATGATCCAAATGAAAAGACAACTGAGCCATCTCCTGCCCTTCATCCCAAAAACAGCTTCCAATTACCTGTTAATTATTCCTTTAATTTGGGAGTCTTTCTCCACCTGCTGTTGTCGTAGCCTCCTCTCGCTGTCCTCCAGACGGTTTTGGTACTGTAGAAGGATCTTATTGGTCTGGTGTTCCTGCAAAAGGAGCCTCCTCTCGTACTCTTCCAGCTTCCTGTGGGACATCACTAGTCGCTCCTTTAGCGAGTTGATCTCCTCTTCGTACTCTTTGACCTGAGTCAGGAACAGAAAAAAAGTTTCATTTAACATGTTTGAAGGCTAACAGGGCGACGTCCAGATGATATGGTTCAAAAGTAACGGGTCACAATGAATTCAGATATTCTACTGATTTCCACACATGTTTAAATGAAAGCAGACAGGAGGTGTACATTTGAGGAAATTCTCTGGTCTAAGGAAAAAACTATCCTTTCTCAGGCCTTAGAAATAAACATATCAGGTCTTTGGTTTAAGGAAAATAACAGAGCTCTTTTTTAAAAAGTTGCATAGTCATGTTATTTGTCATTTCAATGTATAAACCAAAAACTCCCTCTGATTACATACAACATTTTTATGACAAATTATGCCATTCTGATTATGACATTTTATTACAAATTATTCCATTCTGTTTATATTTTTGACTTTTAAGCTTAGTTTTTTTTCCTTGAATTGTTAGTAAATATAACATATGTTCTTATTAGCAATAAGAACATCATGTGACCAGGAAGATGTCAATGAGCATGTGTTGGGATCTGTAGGTTTGTCCACTTTTCTCCACCAGAGGGCGCACGAGATCTCCTGGGAGCATGAGCTTACTGCAACACCTGTCTTTTATCTGCTCATCAGGAGGCTCCTACTTAAGGAGGCGGAGACTGACACTCCAGTGCCAGAGTGTTAGCCAGTAATGGTACAGCTAGACCTGAGCCAAACCTGCCTGATCTTTTCTCTGTGTTTTTGTGTGATCCTGCCTGATCCAGTTTATTTCTCTCTCTCTGCCTACAGAACCAGATCTGTCAGAAAACCTGAAACCTGGAAGTAACTCAGTTCTGGAATCTTCCTGCCAGCATTGGAAGTGACTCTGTTCTGGTATCTGCCTGCCTGCACTCAATCAGTCTCTGCCTTAGCCCTCAGCCCTCTGCCTGCCGACAAACCTCTGGACCCTCTGGGTACCCACCTCCTGCTGATATATTCAGCCTCCAAAGCAGGTATTAACTCGATCATCAGACTAATGACTGGATCCCTGGAAATCCTCTAATCACTCTGTTCTCCATAGTGGTGATCCCCCCGTGACCAGTTGGACCAACCCAGTTCCAGTGCACATTTGTAAAACCTTGTGAATAAACCTTTGAACTTTTTCTCTGTCTCCTGAGTGTTCTCTGCATGTGGGTTAGACATCTTGATCCCCACATGACGGCATGCATTCAATCGGTCAACAAGACCGAGCAATGAAGGTGAGCAAGTGTGGAACTTCCAGCATGTTTGCAAGATCAAGATCATGTGTAAAAAGGTACAAGAAGACATTTGAGAAGTTAAAATTGAGCTGGAAAACAATCTGGCTGTTGGAGTAAGCTAAAGCTGGAGCTTAAGAATGTCCTTGCTGACAGTGCTACTGGTGTTAGCAATGCTTTTAAGCCCTATCCTCCCAGATATTGGCTTTCCTCAAGGTATTACAGCATGGTCGGGACTTACTTATAGTGTTGCGCCGATGCCATGTTTTGGCCCCGAAACCAATACCGCATACCTGGCTGTGCAGTATTGGCTGATACCGATACCATACCGATACCATCTGTTTGAAATTGATGTGTGTATGTGTATATATGAAGAACTGCATACTACTCGGATGTAAAATAATTGCCATCATGGCTTTGTCAAGCTGATGCCTACCTTTGTTTAGCAGGAAAAAGAAATACAAAGTGAATCCAATACAACTTTTTATTGCCTACCTTGAATGGGTGACAGTAGGTGAATAAACTTTAGGCTCTCAAAATGGTGTCGGTGCCCTATTTGTTGGTACTCGCCGATAACCGATATCACCATTTGAGTGCTGGATCAGGGCCCCACCTGCTACTGGTATCGGTCTAACACTACTTATTTAGTAGCTGCATCAATGGCCAACATCCGGATTTTGGTAGTTCAGCAGTTCTGCCGGTATGTCCTTCTGTTCTGACTCGAAGGAGGCGGTCGCATTTTCCTGCTACTCTGCAATACCCAGATCTGTCCCTGAAACACTTTAATAATCACACTGCCAAATTACATGACTCCTTCTATAATAGAGTGACTATAGAATCAGATTAATTTAACACAATTTAATACAATATATATAACTAGGGGGTCCCCGCTCCATCTCGCCATCAGTTTGGGGGTCCTTGGCCTGGAAAACGTTGAAGACCCCTGTTTTAGGGTAAGCTTTATACAGAATGTATTCTTAATTTCAGCAAATTGATGCACATGTTAGTTAACTTAATCCACAAGTAACTGATAGATGTAGTATTTTTAGTTTAAATTGTAAATTGACCAAATTTAGGAATAGTTTTTCTAGTCATATTGACCACTCAAAGGGCTTCACACTACTACCACATTCACATACGCCACTTTACTCTACCCTTTTAAAATCTGGACAAATCAGTTAAATGTTTGCTAATGCTAACCAAAGTTTATGAATTGCCATTTGCCAAATGCCTGGTCTATCAATTCAAATACATTAGCTTTGATGGAACCTAGCAACCAGCTGACAAACAGTATAATTGAATATTTCTCCACCATCTTGTTTTTTGACTCGCTATGTAAAATGACTTCCTTACTAAACTGCAGAGATGGCAAAAGTACTCACTTTCCGTACTTGAGTAAAAGTACAGATACTTGTGTTAAAAAATTCTCTGGTAAAAGTGGAAGTACTGATTAAAGTTCTTTACTCAAGTAAAAGTAACAAAGTACAGGCTTGTAAATTTACTTAAAGTATAAAAGTAAAAGTAGAAACCACTTTTTTCATGCCATTGCCTACATTTTAAATGGATGTCTGCCAATAGGACTAGATCTCCGTTGTGTTAATTTTCAATCATCTCGTCGTCCATGCTACTATGCTAACGCCACCGCCACCAAGCTGCAATGATTTGCCGCCAATGAATACCGCAGAATCTGTCGATTCATCTTGTAGTGGTGCGTCAAATGCAACGTAGATTCCCATCCAATTAGATTGAATTTGGTATTGATGACGTGAAAAATAATAACGGTAACTCCATTGAAATGATTCAAAACTAAAGTAACGAGCCAATTTTTTTAAATGTAAGGAGTAGAAAGTACAGATATTTGTGTAAAAATGTAAGGAGTAGAAGTAAAAAGTCGCCATAAAAATAAGTAGTAAAGTAAAGTAAAAATATCAGAAAAATCTACTTGAGTACAGTAACGAAGTATTTGTACTTTGTTACTTCCCATCTCTGCTAAACTGACATCATGGCATCCTACTGCTCTTCAGTAGGTCACGAAAAAAACTATAAGTGTTTGGTTTTCTACTTGAACTTTAAATTTCATCTGCATTTGGTTTATGGCATGACTCACAAAAACCACACAGTTAAATGGATGCCTACCCTGTCCATGCGAGACTCATCCATACTCTTAGAGTACTCCTTCAGCTTGAATTCCTCTCGGTCAATTCGTGAACTTTCAATGTCAGCCGACAGATGAGGCATGTTGGAGACCCAGGCCACTGTTCGCTCATTTGCTGGGGTCGGGGGATTGAGGGTGGCAGGTGATTGGGAGCCCTGGAAAGAAACGTTGGCAGAATTACTATGGGAAGAGGAGGAACAGCAATTTCATCTTAAATAGAAACATACAAAAGAGAATCAAAAAATGTTTTAGAAAGCTGTGAGAAGGAAGAGAAACAAACCATTAAAGAATAAGCATAAAAACTGCACGCAAAAGAAAAGCTCTGAACTGTGCAGAAATCATTTTTATAACAAGCAGGGTTTCATTCAAAGTGCCTTGTTCATTAAATATAAGCTATGCACGGACATGCAGACCTAGAGAAGCTGACAGTGTGCAGATGTTACCTGTTTAGTCATGGTGGGTTTCAAAAGGTGCTGTTGAGACTGCTGCGGTGACTGCTGAGTGTTCTGACTGGTAGTCCCCTGCGGACTCCCACTTTCCCTGACCGAGCTCTGCTGGTGGGGGAGACCCGGGGCAGTGTTGTCTTTGACAGATAGCTGCCGGGGCCCGTGCTGCCTGCCGCCGTACCCGGACTCTGGAGACTGGAGGAGGTTTCCGCTCTGCGGACGGGTTTTACCAGAGCCGGCAGGTGCTGCTGCTGAGCTGACGGATAGCTGGTGGGAGGTCTGGGACTTGACACGTTGGCTGGGAGGTGGAGCAACAGAACTCTGGCGCATAGGCTGGACTGTAGAGGGAGGTGTGGTGGCCAGGGAAGAGTGGGATGTTCCTGTCTGGGAGGCCATACCCAACATTTCCTGCTGCTGTTGCAGATTATCCTTGGAGAGAAAACAAGGGCAAAATCAAGTGTTTTTGGATTAAAATATAGATTATAAAAAGGCTTTTTATACACAAATAGACAGAATATTTGTGTAAAGTCTGCTGGCCTTGAAGACAAAGTTTGCATTACCACAATGCAGAAGTATAAAGACAGGTAATGACCAAGAAGACAAGTTGATTTTGCCCATTAGAATGTCCAGCTGTTTGGATGAATTTCCATGATAAAACTAAAGAAAAAAAACAATCTTCTGGACTTTGTTTCCAAGTTTGAAGACGTTTCTCTTCCCATCCAGGAAGCTTTTTCAATTCAGTGGATTGTTAGACAACACAGTCTAACTTTTGACCCAATTATTTCAAGATATATAAAATTATTTTTCAGGTGAATATGCAGTAATTGGTTCATGTGGTGCATTTTGATCCGTTGCTTGATTAGTCATGTAACTATAGTACTGCTTTAAGGTGGCCTGAGTTCCCCTTAAATACCAGAGCAGAGGGGAAGAATGTAGTGATGGAGATATGTGCTTCTTTTTCTTGAGATGCTCAATGTGTTTTAACATACTGCTCTGATTTTGTTTTTTATTTTATTTTTTATTTTTAAATTTTTTATTTTTTATTATGAAAAATGTAATATGTTGTAAATATGTATGAACTTCCTGTGGTTTGGCTGCTACCTTGGCCAGGTCTCTTGAAAAAGAGATTCTGATCTCAATGGGACTTCCTGGTAAAAAAAAAAAAGGTTAAATAAAAATAACAAAGGTAAATGTTGTTAACCAACAAAACAGATCTGACCTGATCAGAAATATTTTGGGATCAGAGATATAGGATATATTCTAGAGGGGTGAATGGGACCTTGAATTTACAAGTAACTCCATGACTTCTAAAACCTGCTGGTCCAAAGTGGTCAGCTATTAGACAAAACACAGCATGATACTGGTGCTGTCCTTCAGGGGCACTTACCCTGGAAGTTGCAGGTCTAGCGCCCCTCGTGGGTTAAACTTACGCAGTGTTGCTTTTAACAGACAACCTTATCGAACAATGTCACCGGACATCTCCGAATATGAGCCATAAAACGGTCTTAAATCAGAAGCAACAGGACTTTTCTGAAGACCTTTCAACACCCATCCAGAAGACTTTGTAACTTCTGTCGGCTCGCATAAAGCAATCTGTAGTTGGAGAGCTGATGTTTTTAAACAACCTTGAGGTCCATCCACCTAAGCAAATTGCAGGACAGATACAAATCAAAAACTAACCCGTCGTTTTCCTGGGTTTTTGAAGACTTGCATATATGGATTTTGTGTTTGGCCATATGATCATGATTAGTGCGCTTTTGTCTTTGGGGTTATTCAAGGAACAAATTGTTGATGCTTTTGGGCTAAAATCTTTTGTTCTTTGACTATAAAAATTTTAAGATTTTGAACAGAGAGGAAAGATGGTTTGAAAGCGGGGTAAAGGAAGCCATATTGGTTAAAAGAGAAAAGCCATAACGGAACTTAGGGGGAAGATTGCATTTTCAGGCTACGAGCAATTACATTTCAGTCCTGGAACTCATTCAAACCTGTCGGCTCACACAAGGGCTGACAAAATTCACAAAGACTCCTGGATAGGTGATGATTTCAGAAAAGTTAAGCCTCTTATGTGGTTGCCTATAAGGGCGTAACGATTTCAGGAAGAATTACTTTACCTGCATATGCATGGAGATTTGCCTGCGTCCGTAGTCAGCCCTGCTGTAGTCGTCACTGTAGCTGTGTGAGTGGATTATGCTGGGCTGACCCAGGTGACCGTCCCGGGTCCTGAGGGTGGACAGATCCTCACTGCGAGAGAACCCCCCGTGGGCGAACTGTGGGATGTAGGCCGGATGAGAGGGCTCGGGTTCAGGGGTCAGGAGCAGAGGTGCTGGGGGTTGAGCCCGGCTGTGCTGGTGATGGAGCTGTTGCTGCGGCCCGTCAGCCGTCGCCAGATGAAACAGGGGATTCTGGAAGGAAAGCGGGTAGCGCATGGCGGCGGCCTGGTGTTGCTGCTGCTGGGATAGCGAGTCGGTGGTGGTGCCCATCTGGCTCAGCTGGCTCAGCCGGAGGCCGCCTGACATGCTGGAGCCGCCGGAGCCAGCTGACAACCTCCCACCGGCCCGCAGCTGGCTGCTCAGGCCCGACCCCAGGCCGCCACCGCCTCCGCTGCTCAGCCCACCGAAGCTGCCCATACCGGCGATGGAGGCCTGGGAGGAGTTGAGCATGTCCACCGACTGCAGGTTAGACACGCTGTTCATTCGGGAATCCTGGAGGTCCATCATAGATACGCTTTTATTTACACTGAGACACCTAAATAGTACGGGACATGAGATGCTAATGTGCCCCCTTATATTTAAATGTTAGGTGGGCACGGATGACATGGGTGAGGGTGGTGCGGGTGTTTTACCACGAGGTCTGTCAGGGTATCGGAATGCCTGAAAGTATTTCCCAGGAAATACCGCTAGAATGAGTTGCATGGTGACTCAGTGGGAAAAAAGCAAATGTCATGATAAACTAGAGCCTCTGTACGACCATTGCAGACTCTTCCAGTATGACCAACATGCATGTCATACTAACCTCACTAACTGGAGAGAGATAACCTAGCGGATGAGATGATGATGCCCGTGGTTCGGCAAGATGAGACTCACCTTAGCGTCTGGTTCCGTGATGTCGGAGCTGCTCGTGCAGTACGCCGGGCTGGATCGGGCCAGAGGGGGTCGGGAAACGTAAAACATGTCTTTGGAGGCTCGATGAGGATGATCGCGGTCCTGAAAACTCAGCTGGGAACGGGACGGCATGACCCCCCCGGTGGAGGTGGGGGAAGGCAAACGCGTGATATCTATGGAGCTGGAAAACAGGAAGGAGTAAAGCCGACAGGATGGATCTGGAACATTCTTTTACGTTCAGCTGCTCCAAATCTGTGGTATTCTGGGAATATTCACTCAACACTTTGTCACAAACATCTTTTCAAACAATGAAATGTCACTTCTGCTACGATCCTTTACTATACATGCAGCCCCACATGAAAACTGAAACATTTTCATCAGCTACACTGGAAAAACCGTATCTATGTATTATTGAGGTATGGAGAGAATTTTGTTCCGTTTTGTTCCGTTATTGTCCCATTCAAGAAACACATTTTGTGAATGGAAATTAGAAAAAAAAAAAAAACACACTTTGCAAAATGAAATTTTAAAAGAATTATTCAAAAAACACGTTGCTATCCAAAAATGCAAATATTTTCATATGTGCAGCTAAAACACAGACAGACGCAAGAGTAAGAAAATAAAAATTTTACTATGGCGAAAAGAGAAGTTGTAGACAGATTGGAGTTTGAAAATGACAAGAGTAAATACTGGGGACTCTTTAAAAAAAAAAGCGAGATCCGATCTGTCCTGAGAATGATCCTCTGGTAAAAAGGTAAGTAAATAAATATTTACATCTTTCTCATCTCACATTGCATTATGCCTCTACACAAAAAACCTGTGCTGCTGCAGCAGCAGACAGCTGGAACTTTTCTCTTCACATGCACAGCACGGGTGTCATTTCAACTTGTTTCAAGAGGGAGTAAATGCCTGCAAAAAATCAGCAACTTGTGCTATACGACAGATAATTATGGCAATTCAAAGACAAATTTTTGAGTTTAAAGTGGCACATTTACGAGAACTAACATGCACATTTAAGACATTCTAAGCATGGAAATTTGAAAGAAAAATGTACCAACTTCAGAGAATAAACATCTAAATTTACAAGTAAAAACACCCAAATTTATGAGATTTACAAGAAAAAAGCAAGAAAATTTACAAGATTCTAAGCATGCAAATTAAGAAGAAGAAAGCACGCAAATTAAGAGAATAAACATGTATATTTGCGAGATTATAAAGAGGCAAATATAGAGGGAAACAAGTAGCAAATGTACCAGAATAAATTTGTAAATTGACTTGATTATAAAGATGCAAATTTAGAAAATTTATAAGAACAAAAATCCAAAATTACAAGAACATTTTTGAGATTCTAAGCATTCAAATTTAGAAGAAAAATGTAGGATATGTATCAGAATAAGCATGTAAATTTACGAGAAAAAACAAGCTATTTTATGAGATTATAAACATGCACATTTATTGTATCATTAATTTTTACTTTAAAAACTTACATGAGGAGGCCATTGTAGCATCAAATTCAATTACTAAAGCCCCCCCAATTAATGATGGATTTGCATGTGCTTTATGTAGCATACCTGAACATGTATTATAATCTTGCGCTGTTCCGCAAATGTCCATGTTTTAAATCTTGCAATTTTGCTACTTGTCCCCTCTAAATTTGCTAGTTTTTTTCTTTTTAATTATCTACTTTTTTCGTCTTATATTTGCATGGTTTAATTTAGTAAATATGTATGTTTTTACTCGTAAAGTTGTGTGTTTATTCTCATCAATATGCCACTTTAAAATTGAAATTCCAATTTTTTGTTTTCGTTTTTTAATGGCCTTTATACGCTGGTGTAATTCTAAACATGGTTTGTCTCCCATTTTTATGCCCTTCCACTGTGTTGGTGTCTTTATGTTGATGAATCAATGTGCTGTTACAAACTGCTGTGACAGATAGTGACTTCATATCTGTCAAACCATTTTAAGAACATGTTACAATCCGTGTATCATTCGTTCTTTCTATTTTCAATTGCCAATCAAAAAACAAAAAATAAAAAATTGACTGGTTATTTTGTTATTTGTTTTTTATGGTTAAACCAAAAACGAAAAAAGGATTTGTTTTTCATATATCAATTCTAAGCTCAGATCAAGAATACGAAATGGAAAAACGGACAGCAACGCAGAATTTGTTTTTAATATTTAATCGGTACAGTTTACGTGACCCGGAAATAGCTCTTTGCGCAGCAGTTGGGGTAATGAAGTGGCTACCATGGCGACGCTAGAACCACACACTATGTTGATCGAGAAGCTGTTTGTTGTTGCTAGTTAAAAGTAAAGTGCACAGAAAAGTTTCAAGAAAAAAGTTATACCTGGAAAATCCTGCAAATTTTCTCCGTTGTCATGTCCTCCTCAAGAGTCACACGCTTGGATCCTCGAAATAAAACGTAACTGTCCATGGCTGATTTATGGCTGGTCCGACTGCCTTATCTGGTGCAGTTTGATCGAACGTGGTGGGAGTAAGCCAATTGTTTTTTTAGCTAACGCTCCACCAAACTTCCGGGTCATGTAAACTGTACCGATTAAATATTAAAATCAAATTCTGCGTTAATCCGGATTTGCGTTGCTGTCCGTTTTTCCATTTCGTATTCTTGATCTGAGCTTAGAATTGAAATATGAAAAACCAATCCTTTTTTCGTTTTTGGTTTAACGATAAAAAACAAAAAACAAAATAACCAGTCAATTTTTTATTTTTTGATTGGCAATTGAAAATAGAAAGAACGAATGATACACGGATTTTATTACCTTTTGTACTTGTTAAATTTATTTGGATAAATCCAAGGTGGTAAGAAACCAATAATTAACTTGCATTGCATTGTTATCCTGCATTGGCTTTAGAATTATAAAATAGACTTTTTGTAATGTTTAACCATTTCTAAAAACGATATATCCACGATTACACCCCACTGATACATATGCGTTGACTGTATAAATGTTCCTACCTGTTCAAGTCCCTCATCATGAGATTCTGGAACTCTGATGAAATCCCTCGGTTAAAGCTGGGTCGAGACAGCAGCCTGTCTGTCTGTCTGTCCTGCACCCTGTCTGTCTGATGGCTCGGCTGCCTCTGGAGGTGAGGGTTACGCAACGCCATGCTGATGTCATTCAGGAGGCGGGGCAAAGGCCCCAGCTTGATGATGGCATCCTGTAGCCAGAAGGAGAAAACTTCAGAAAGCTGCAGGAGTGTTTTTTTATACCAAGAAAAATCATCATTTGAAAGCATATAAAATATTTATGCTCAATCTAAATACGATAGGAAAAAATTGCTGTAAGCTGTTTAGTTTTTATTAGTGATGTGCCGTTATTGCGCTACCACTAACTATAGTGTATATAGTTGATAGTTCACCTGCGAGGTGATATCATGAGGAGAATGCATGACCAAAGCTGCGACAGATGAGAAATTCATCAAGGCGACGTGTGTGTCAGATTTTTGGAGACACTCTATTGTTAAAGAGGGACAATCTATAACTGGAGTTGGGACACTCAATGTTTTGCAGCAAAAATACAGTAAAAAATGAGAAAAAAAAAAAAGTATTTAGAACTTTGTCACGTGTGTGCAAACATAAAAAGTAAACCTTTTCTTTAAAATTCTGGAGGTAGCACAAACATAACATCAATACCTTTGGCAGAATTCAAATAAGCGAGTTTAATCTGGATTAATCTAGATAATTCCAAGATTACAGTGAGATTAATCTAGATTTAAAAAAATAATCTATGCTCACCAGTAGTTTTTATACATTCCAATAAAATGTTGTCACTTTGACGTTCAAATCAAATCAAATCAAATTTATTTGTATAGCCCTTTACAATAGCCAAATGGTACCCAAAGTGCTTTACAACAAAGCCATAAAAACAATACATAACACATATAAAAACATACAAGATACAATTAAAAGTGCTGTAGTGGTGCGGTGCTGCAGGACATTAAAAGCCTTCCAGAGGTGCATAGAAAGGAGCACACAGAAAGATGACATCTAAGAGACAGTATTATAGTCAGAATTAAAAGCTAAATTAAAAAAGCGGGTTTTAAGCTTTTTTTTAAATGTATTCTGATTCAATGTATTCTGGATAAATTATGTATGCTACGTAGTACTGCGTTAGCTCCATAAAGCCAAAACAGCAACGAGTAGCATTAAAATTTTTAAGCTTGAACAGGAGGGCACTGAAATCGGTGAGAATGTAGAAATCACAAGAAGTTATGAAAAAGAGGAAGACCAAACTGTTTGTGTGGCGGCTGCTAGGAGATACTAACCCAGATGGAGAGCTATGCTACCAAGAGCTCTAATTTCTAACTGAGATTGTTTACTGTAAGCATCGGGATCAAACAGCATACCTGCGACTGAAAGCTGCTTCACTGTCATATTAAAGGAATAGTACATCCAAAACATGATTAGCCTTCATTTTCTACTCACCCCCATGCTGAACAACACCCTGGAGTACTTTTTTGATATCTCAAATGCATCTGGAGATCTGGGAGGCTTCTTGCTGTCTGCTGACATTCAAATAATGGAGGTCTATGGCGCCCGAGGCAGAAAGGTCCATAAAAGTCCACAAAAAACGTGTCAATATTCCTCCATACTGCTCGTCCAATGTATTCCAAGTGTCCTGAGTGGGTAGCATCGAGAATTTACTCGAAACGAAGTCATTTAGAATGTTTTTAGAGCATAAACAGTAGTGTATAGGATTTCCTAAAAGCGCGTTCATGAGTCTACGGAAACCGCGGCAGACCAAACCAGATGAAAGTGCGCATTCAGCTCGGCAAAGAACTCATGCTCTTCCTCAACACTGAAGTCCTCAGACATTTTTCTTTCGTTGTTTCTTTCTTTGCACAGGTAAACAGCACATTTCTTCTTCTACGCTTGCATTATCGGCAGAGCAGACACTGAATGCGCACTTTCATCTGGTTTGATCTGCCGCGGTTTCCGTAGACTCGTGAACGCGCTTTTAGGAAATCCTATACACTACTGTTTATGCTCTAAAAACATTCTAAATGACTTTGTTTCGAGTAAATTATGGACGCTACCCACTCATGACACTTGGAATACATTGGACGAGCAGTATGGAGGAATATTGACACGTTTTTTGTGGACTTTTATGGACCTTTCTGCCTCGGGCACCATGGACCTCCATTATTTGAATGTCAGCAGACAGCAAGAAGCCTCCCAGATCTCCAGATGCATTTGAGATATCAAAAAAGTACTCCAGGGTGTTGTTTAGCATGGGGGTGAGTAGAAAATGAAGGCTAATCATGTTTTGGGTGCACTATTCCTTTAAACAAGGATAATATTGATTAACGCCCATCGGCTCCAGATTATGTCTTTAAGGTTAATGTTTTTATCCCTAAGTGCATCTGTGAGTTTTAAGTTCAGCTTAGATCAGAAGCACTGAGAACGATTGAGGTTCACCTTGCTGAGCTGAGCCATGACCTCCCACAGGAGGCTGTGCAGTATAGACAGCTCTCTGCCCAGATCGATGTAACCCTCAAAGCCGCCTGCATTGCTGACACTGTCCAGGTTGGAGATCTCGTACAGGAACTGCTGCATGGAACCCCACTCCATCTCCAAGAACTCATTCATAAAGCACATGTACTCCTCTTTATTGCCAAACCTGCAGTTCAAGCAGAAAGGAAGAACACAAAAGGATGGGTGGGTTTAAAAATGAAGAAAGAACCCATGAGAGTAGAGTAAGGCATCAAGTTTGGGACTAATATTCAGTTTTTAAATTTTGGGCACCTAGTTTTGATGTCCAATTTACCAAGTGGAAGAAACCAACAATAAAGTTTGCAGGAAGTGTGTGCGCGGCTCAAACATTCAAATGTGTGGCGTAATGACCAGTCAAATCGGTAAAAACAAGATTACATAATGCAAAATACAGTAGACAACTAATCTGATCACATACCTCCAGACTGGAGCTGGGCGATATGCACTTAAAATCTTATCATGATAATGGGCGATATAAAACAAAACTTCTTCGCAGTCTTCCTCCAGTACCTCTATGGCTGTGACTACTTAACCTGACTCCGCCAGATGGATTTGCTCCACATATCCATCAGGAAACCTTCCGTTGAAGTAATTTTGGGAAGGGGCGAAAATACTGGTTAGCTGATTGGCCTATGTTGGTGATAGACGGGCCAAATAAACCAATCAGATCAACGAAGCATATGACGTACTAACAGAGCGACGACGAAGAAGAGCCAATTGATAGATCAAACTCTTGCCGAAACCAGTCGGGAGAAGAGCAAAAACATCTTTTCCTCTGAGAAAAGCCTCCAGAGCAGTGTTTTGCTCTTCTTTCAGTGAAGAAATACTCTATAATTCCGATAAAACTTGCTCGATAGCCACGCTAACGCTAGTTTCATCGGCTGAAGCTGCCATGTTCTTTAGACTGAACTGTCGCGCTTCTCGTTGCGTCACACCTCAACCCGCCTCAAAGCCAACGCTGATTGGACGTTCGTTTGGTGAACGGCTCCAAATTTTCTTTAACGGAGAGTAGCCAGACTGATTAGCGAGTGAAACCTCGAAAGCTCGCGAGATCAGGATGGTCTCACGAGGCTAGTGACTAAATACCACAGCCATCACAGCCCCACAATCCCAAATGATACCCTTGAAGAATATACACATTCAAATATAGCTTCTTCAGGACACAAGTTACATAAAGAAGTATGATTTACATCCCTAAACATCTCATAGAAACTGCATGTAATCATATTCTTCGAATTTATCATTGCCCTAATGGAAAAAAAGAGAAAGAAAAACAAAAACACACAATGAAGAAAATAAGTACTTGAACACCCTGCTCTATTCTCCCACTTGGAAATCATGGAGGCGTCTGAAATTGTCATCGTACGTGCATGTCCACTGTGAAAGACATATTCTAAAAAAACAATCAATATATGATTTTTTTTAACTATTTATTTGTATGATACAGCTGGTAATAAATATATCAACACCTGTCTATTAGCTAGAATTCTGACCCTCAAAGACCTGTTAGTCTGCCTTCAAAATGTCCACCTTCACTCCATTTATTATCTTAAATTAGATGCACCTGTTTGAGGTTGATAACTGCATAAAGACACCTGTCCACCCCTTACAGTCAGTAAGAATCCAACTGCTAACATGGCCAAGACCAAAGAGTTGCCCAAAGACACTATTGTAAACCTACAAAAGGCTGGAAAGGGCTATTTTTACACAAGTGTATAAAGTGAATGTGATTGGTCGTTTATCAAGGGGGAGTGATTGTTGTGGCGGAAGGTTTGCAAGCATGTTTGGTTGTGGCCGGTTTCTCTGAAGCATCTTGCTAACCAGTTAGCAACTTAGTGCTAGTAGGTTCACTGTCAAGGAATGCTATGGACAGTGGAAACATGCAAGAAGAGTAAAGCGGAAACGAAGTTGTTGTGGAAGATGACACCAGGGCAGCAGAAGTTGTACCTAACAAAATTTCTTCTTGTTTACACTTGTGTGTACGAAATGACAAAATAAAATATTTCTAAGTCAGAAGGTTGGTTGCTGTAGAAGGCTTAAGCCTTGCCTCGCAACGCTGCCAGTTCTGTTAGCTCTACGCTTGCCGAAGACAAAGACGTCCATCCCCGAGAACACTGGGATGGAACTCAATGGGAAAGGAAATTATTCTTAGTTCTTATTAGCTGCGGCATATGAGTAAAGATGCTGTGACCGAAAAAACTTGATCGACAGATTACCGTTGATATATGATTGGCCAAATTTAGCTGTTCAAGCTGAGGTATAATCAACTGACATACATAAGATGATGAACCCACCCCTACAGATTTTAAGACAGGATTTATTTTTTTTTTAAATAGAAATTTTCTAACTTTTGGGACAATATGGTCTGATAAAGAGTACATTCATATGCATTTAAATATGACTTCCCTACAACTTTAAACCAGCACATGTCAAGGCCCCTCTTAAGTTTGCCAGTGACCATTTGGATGATCCAGAGGAGCCATGGGAAAAAAGTCATCTGGTCAGATGAGACCAAAATAGAACTTTTTGGTCATGATTCCTTTAATCATCTTTGGAGAAGAAGAAGGATGAGTACCATCCCAAGAGCATCATCCCTACTGTGAAGCATGGGGTTGGTAGAATCATGCTTTGGGGGTGTTTTTCTGCACATGGGACAGGGCGACTGCACTGTATTATTGAGAGAATGACTGGGGACGTGTATTGCAGGATTTTGGGGAACTTCCTCCTTCCACCAGTTAGAGCATTGAAGATGGGTGGAGGCTGGATCCTCCAACTTGACAATGACCCGAAACACACAGCCAGGATAACCCAGGAGGGGCTCTGGAAGGAGAATATCAAGGTTCTGGCGTGGCCTAGCCAGTCTCTAGACCTTAGAATCTTCTGAGGGAGCACAAACTTACCCAGAATTCTGAGAAAAAAGTCAGAATTCTGACATTAAAGTCAGAATTCTGACTTTAATCTCAGAATTCTGACTTTTTTTTCTCAGAATTCTGACTTTAATCTCAGAATTCCTAGATTAAAGTCAAAATTATGAGAAAAAAGTCAGAATTCTGAGATTAAAGTCAGAATTCTGAGATTAAAGTCAGAATTTTGAGATTAAAGTCAGAATTCTGAGAAAAAAGTCAGAATTCTGACTTTAATCTCAGAATTCTGACTTTTTTCTCAGAATTCTGACTTTTTTCCCATACTATACTGAAATAAAATTGAAAAAATCAGTTAAATTTTTTTTTTTCAGTGGCCTTAATCCTCTTCCGTACAAACCTGGGTGATCAAGAAAGGATTTGTATGGAGGAGTGGGCCAAAATCCCTCCTGCAGTGTGTGCAAACCTGATGGAAAACTATGGGAAGTGTTTGACCTCTGGAATTGCAAAGAAGGTACGACTGTACCAAATATTAACACTTATTCTCAGGTGTTCAAATTCCTTTTTGCAGCTTTATCATATCAGCTTAATATATTGTGATTTTAGGATTTTATCTTTTAAATTATGTCTCTCACAGTGGACATACACCAACAATAACAATTTCAGACCCCTCCATGATTTCTAAGTGGGATAACTTGCAAAACAGCAGGGTGTTTAAATTCTTATTATAAATATATAGTCCTTGCTTAAAAGAATGCTTGTTAAAAAATGAGGCTGTACTGACTTGGAAAAGTTCGCCAGGTTTTGCACTACTTTGGCGATAAGTGTGAGAGTGCGTGATGTCTGCTCGTCGGGGTACTCCTGGGTGAGGTTGAAGAGTGACGGGGACATGATGGCAGGACACAGGAAGCGCAGGAAGAGTGAGCCGCTGATGAGACGGTCGGCGATATCCTCCCGACCCCTCTCAGCGCAGCGCACTCTCCAGGATGCAAAAACCTCCTTCAGCTCACGAGGGAATACACTGCAAAGTTGTGTAATACAATTTTCATAATCAGACAGAAACACATTACTTTTCCTTTCACCCTACTCAGGACAAACAACAGCAATGCAACCTCTATGAATAGCTTATAATTTTTGCAGTAATTGGGAGCTTACCAATGGGAATTAACGATTTTGCAGAGAGCCAGTTCACAGCACATTCGAAGATTGGCTTGGTGGTCTGGCAGCACAGATGGGGGTATTCTCATTGGGTCCACTTCACAGTTTTCCTCTGACTCATACAAGGCCCTTATGAACTCCCCTGCAGGTGACATTTTTATTTATAACAAGTCCACTTTGAATGCTTCCATCAACCGAAGACTGTTAAATGTGAAGAATAACATTCGATGTTATTACTTCTTCATTGATAATGTCTGTTCTGCCTGGGTTCTCATCGCCCCTGCTGCTTATTACATGTCAATCTCTGTCACCTGCTTTGCTGTTTATGATCAGTTCCAGCCTGTGAGTCTGTCCTGTCTACAGGAGACTGTTGGTGGGTTGAGGCCCTCAGGGTCTCTAAATGATGCTGTCCCTCTTCGATTATCTAAAGAGGTCTTCCCTACTGTTGGAACCTCTGTTCTGGCACTATAAATAGCAGACTGCCCACAGGTGTGGTGCCTGTATATTTTTAACATGCAGTTGTACAGCCCCTAATTAAAATACCTGGACTAGATCCTGCATTTATTGTCAATTTCAGGCCAATCTCCAAACTGCCTTCCATTTCAAAAATCCTTGAAAAGACAGTTTTCAGGGGGACATGTCCACATCAGTTCTAACGCCTGTGCTGTGGGACACAAAATCTTGATCTCTTGCTTGGAACAGCAGGTGGGCATTAGGGGCGTAGCTCTGGAGTGGTTCCCTTCATATTTGGCTGACCTATATTTTCTGCGTTAGCCTTGGGGACCATTTCCTCCTCTCTTATGCAGGAGTTGCATGTGACAATTGAAAAAATCATACAGTGTATGCCCGGCTTTAAAGAGGAGATGTGGATGCAGAGGAGGAACAAGTTTGAAAGGGTGAAAAATAACTCATATTGGGGATGTGAGATATCTGGCAGAGAAAATACATAAGGAAGTACAACATAATTCCTAATATTTTCTTTTGGAGCAGTGGTTTCTTTTCTGAGTAGCTGTTTTGACTGTGTTCTTGTAGGACTTGTTTCTCTAAAGGACAAGGACACCCTCTTACAAGCTTCAGCCGTGCTAAGGTGAGCTTATAAAAGGTTTTTGTCCTGGAGTTGATTCACATATTACACACCAAAACATTTTTATTTCACAGGACCCTTCTCCTTCATTAATGCTATACAGGATGGATAATCCCATAGTATCTATGCTGGCATTTATTGTTTAAACATGTAAAATTATATTTTTTTACTAACTTTTACTATAATTTTAAGGATGAAAAAGTTGCTTTACATCTATTCAGATTGAAAATCACATATTTTATTTGAGTAATATTTCCAGTTTTTTATTACAGTTCTTAACTAAAGCAAAAATAATTAACAAAAACCAGGCTATGGTAGACTAATTATTACAAATGATCTAAGAAAAGAGCATTTAATATGCTAAAAAGATTTTTATTATCCTAAATTTTCCTGAATCTTGCAGCTGTTATGTGTAAAATGAAAGACACAGCAGTGTGGACTCACCGATAGCATCCTTGAGGTACTTATGTCCAATCAGTTTGAGGTACTCTTCTATGGCTTTGGTGGCCAGAGTGTTCTCTCTGAATATAAGGTGTTCTCGGTCGATAAATCTGTCTACCTCACACATTGCCATGTCAGACAGGAAATCCTGCAGGCACAGAACAGCAGTTAAGGATTAATCCTCAATCAGAGCCAGTGAGTCTGAGTTTTTGGTACAGAAAGTTTGGGATAATCATAGTAAAGTAAAGCAACCATTGTCCCGTACCTTTGCCTTCCCTGTGCTTTGCAGGATGTGCACCAAAGCACAGGCCACCTCCTCTTTGCTCTTTACGCTCAGCACGGGCTCCAGCACGGCGCACAGGGTGCGGTAGTTGTTGGTGACGTACTCTGCAAACTCCTTGTACAGCTCCATGGGGAGGATGTTCATGGTTTGGAAGCGGGACTTGAGGCGAAGCGATGCGTTGATGATTTTCCCTCCTCCGACGCCGGCTCCCTTTGTGAGGACGCTAGGCTGGATGACTGGGTACCACTGCTCCACAAACTGCCGCCCGGTGATGCTTGAGATGGGGATGCTGACCAATCCTAAGTAAGTGCTCTTTTCCTTAAAGATACAGAGAAATTATGCTAAAAACACACCCAAACTAATGGAAAGATATTTACTGAATATTTTCCTCAGAAATCAGAATAGTTTAATATTTAGGGCAAGGCAAGTTTATTCATATGGCACAATTCAGTGCATGGACAATTCAAAGTGTTTTACATGAATAAAAAAATTAAATAGAAGGAAAATTAAAAGCAGGTGTTGGGATCAAATGTCGATGATGTAACTAGAACTAGAACCTCTGAAAGCACACCCCTCCGACAGTTTTTAAAAGGAAATACTTCCTATTCAACTTCCTGTTGCCGGCGGCCCGTGGCTGCCTAGGCTGGACTCTAAGCGCTTCTCAGATGAAGCTACGCTAAGTAGTGATCAAATACCTTCGGAAAGGTCTGTGCTCACTGGACCGAGTTAGACTACAATTTCTTGCAATTCAGAGGGAGCTGCACATAGTGTTTTTGTTTTTCTGCAATTCAAACCAAGTGTTTCCTAAAACCACCTGCTGCATCAGCCTCCCTGTAAAGTTGGCTCTTATTATTGCACTGAATAAATCTTAATGCTTAAGCTGCTGTTGGATAAAAGGACTGGACCGAAGACGGGGCCTGCAGAAAACCAAGAAAAAGGCAAAGGCCTTCACTCCACCGGGCCAAAACAGTAACATCCATCCTCCCCCCTTTCTGTCTGATGCTCAATAACTGCTCCGCTTGGGAGAACTAGGTAGAATAGATAGTCGTGTTTGTGTTTTATTTGAATAAACTTTCTGATTCAACTGCTGATGGTTTCAAGAGTTTTAACCGAATGCTAATGCTCACTGAACAGACTGAATGAGCAATGCGGTTCTGAACACACTGTTACATTGGACTGGCTAGCATTGTTAGCTCCAGCTACCTAATGCCGGACATGTGGTAGAAGCCGCATTATGAACTTTAACTCTTCCTTTATTTCATCTGAACCCGACCAGAACAGACCCCCTGTGGCCAGCTAAGCTAAACCATTCTCTTACTCACCTTTCACCCTAAAACTGAATGAAACTGCACTGTTTTGACTGCATTTAACATCTCTGTATCAGGGTTTATTCATATTTATCTGCTTCTATTTTGAAGGACACTTTCAATGCATTAACCCCTTTAACTTGAACATTCCTCAGAAACCTTTGAACGGACTCTTAAACCCCTCTTCCCCTTTTAATTGTTTATTTGTGCTTATTTCCAGTAGTCTTTAGTGCCTACGTACTTATTAGAAATAATACTGTGTGATTAGTAGCTAATAAAGGTACCGTTGTATTAAATCCCGGGTCTTTTGTGTTTATTTTACGCAATGAACGATTTATCACTCATGCTGGATTCAGTCTTCTGTCAGTAGTATCTAAATGAACAAACACAGATTTATTTGGTTGGTGATTAATAAATCTGCTGATAGCCACAGTCTGAACCCGCCCGCAACCGCTCCCCCCCACCGAGGAAGAGAGAAAAAAAAAAGGAAAAAAGAAAAAGAAAAACATAAATAAATAAATAGGTAAATAAATTAATTAATTAATAAATCAAAACAAAAGATTTGAAAAAAAAGGAACAAATGTCGTTGGTAGTGCGCTACTACTACAATGGTGCCATACATGAAAGCTTCCTATGCTTCCAACCAGCTGAGACCCTTAATGCAGAAGGCCTCAGTCAAATGATTGTCCGTTGTTTAGAGAGACATGGTCTAGACTACAGAAACAACTTGGTGGGACAAGGTTATGACGGAGCCTCTGTCATGAGTGGCAAGCATTCTGGGGTTGCAGCATTAATACAGAGCAATGCCAGATTTGCGTTTTACGTGCATTGCAATGCTCATTGCTTAAATTTAGTTCTTGTTGATGCTACAAAATCAGTGCCTGAGGTTGTGGACTTTTTTGCACTTCTGCAGCAGCTATATAACTTTATATCTGGCTCTTATGTGCACCTGAGGTGGCTTGATGTTCAACAGAAACTATATCCATCACAGCAGCCCAGGGAACTACAGTCACTTTCAGACACCAGGTGGGCCTGCAGATATGCAGCATGCCGTAATCTTAGGGACAGACTTCCTGCAGTGCTGAAACTATTGCAAGATCTCTCACTTGAAAAACATGGTGAAAGATCAGTGCTAGCAAGGGGGCTTCTTTCACAAATTGACTTGCAGTTCTTGGGGCTTTTGGTCACTTTCTGTGAAGTACTTGGGGATGCCAAGTGTCTGTCAGACATGCTCCAGTCCAGCACTCTCAACTTAGCAAGGGCTGTGGATTTAGTACAGTCCCTTAAAAGCACTTTCCACAATTACAGATCTGATGATTATTTTAGCAAACTGTGGAAAGAGGTTGAGGAGCTTGCACAACAGTGTGAAATTGGTGTACAAGCAGACAAGAAAAGGCAACGAAAAATAAGCTCAAAATTCCTGGACTCACTGATGATGAGCTCAGTAGGGCAGAGAAATTGGAATGAAGAGGATTTCCCCAGAGAATTATTTTACCAAGTCATTGATTGTCTAATTAGTGAGCTGGATAGGCGTTTTTCTGGCAAAAATTGTGAGATCATGCATGGTGTCCAGTCTCTCAATCCAAATAGTGCAACCTTTCTAAATAATGAGCCTTTGTTTGCCTATGCCCAAACCTTTGAGTCTGATGTATGTGACCTTAGACATGAAGTTCACCAAACAAAGCGGCTACTGGAAAGGAGAATGAAAAGGGGTTTAGACAAACCAGCTTCTCTGCTTGAATTTCTTGTCTTTCTTGAGCCCTACAAAGAAGTTTTTCACGAGCTATTCAGGCTCTGCAAAATAGCCATTGTTATACCTGTTAGCACTGCTTCCTGTGAGAGAAGCTTCTCTGCCTTAAAGCTAATAAAAACACATCTCAGGACAACAATGATGGATGACCGGTTGAATCATCTAGCCATTCTAAGTGTTGAGTCCAGGAGGGCACGTGCCCTTGACATGGATGATTTTGTCAATAATTTTGCCACTTCTCATCAAAATAGAAGAATTATGCTTCTTTGAAGTTATCACCATGCTCTGCACTCAAATCAAGTCAAGTGAACGTAATTGTTAAAAATCTATGTCACACAGTCATCACAGAAGTTTGCACACACATACACATTAAACACTTGATAGCACACACACACACACCTTGTGCTGAAGAAGAAGACTAACACTTATGGACAATAGCAATGTGCAAAGAGTAAAGTGCAAGGGTCATGGTGAAAGAAATGTTCATGGAATGTTCTCCAATGTCATTTAAATATTAAATGTAGTTTTCCTCAATGTGTTGATGAATCTGGCTTGTGGAAAGAAGCTGTTTCCCAGTCTGCTTGTGCTTCCCTGATTGTAGCAGGGAAAACAGTTTGTATGCTGGGTGAGTGGGATCTTTGATCTGTGTTTCTGTTATCAGAGAGTTGAAGAATGCACCATATTCATTTTGTGCATAAATAAACTACAAATTGTACTCAAAATTGCACCTTTTGTCTGCTTAGTATGTGGCTACTTAAATATGATTGCAAATTACTGCTTACAAGGTTTATATAAGAAAGGTCAATAAGCCTTATTTAACTTGTAAATTATGCACCAAAGATAACCACAGACTAGTTGGCTTTCATCTGTAGCCCCTGGAAGTTTGATGTTGAAAGAAGTGTGTTTGTGTGTGTGTGTGTGTACATATAGAGTATAACAAGAATGATAAGTCATTACTCATGACATGTCAAAGAAGAACACAAGACAGGACCAACATCTGTAAGTCCATGTAGAAATAAATGATAGTGAATAATAATTTAAACGTGACATGAAAAGGTATACAGCACTCGATTGCTTACAGACGGTTGGTGTTTTCTGCTGCGACATTAACGCTAGTGCATAAACGTTGTTATTTTTAAGTATAAACCATTGCCCCCCTAAAATACACTTGGCCACCCCCTTGCTACCCCAAGGATAAAAGTCTAGATCCGCCCCTGCACCGGACGCAGCAAAAGCAGCAAAATCGCGTCTGCTGCTTAATTTTTGCTGCTTGTTCCAGTTAGTTCTGACGCGCGGCTGAAGCAGCTTTGCTGCTCTGGCTGCGCGGTGCAAAAGTGTGTCTGAAGCGCGTTGGGCGGAGCTTCACTATCCTTTCTCTGCCTTGCAGCTATATTTGCTGTGATCAGTGGGAATAAAGTAGTTTTAATATGTTTTTAAGTAAGAAAATACACCTGAAAACGTAATCAGTGCAGTCAGTTCATTCAGATTATTCTCCTGCCTTACAATATTTCTTCTGTCGGAGCCGCTCAGACCCCCACATACCAGCGGTGCGCCGACAGTAGGAATCCCTTCATCAGCAGCCTCTGGCCGGGTCGCCTCCTTGCAGTTCACCGCGGCAGCTGGTAGGTGTTTTTCATCTACATAATCCAAACTGCAGGCAGCAGGATAATAAAAGCCAACATATTCTGCCGGCAGATTTCTGCATTTTAAGTTAATTTAGGCGTCAATAAACTGTTTAAGAGGAGTGATCATAGCGCTTTGATTATCAGCGCTGTGTCTCTCTCCCTGCCAGCTCCCAGATCAGCGTCTCTGATTGGTTGACGCGGCGCGTCGAGCAGCAAAAATAAAATTTTTCCATCTTGAGCAGCAGCGCGTCATGCGCGTCAGATGCTTAAACGTGCCCAACGCGCTGCGCCTGCTGCTCAAAACGCGCCGCGGGACCTTTTGCTGCACCTTGAAGCGCGTCAACCATTGACTTTGCATGTAAACTCGCTGCTTCTGTCGCGCCAGCTGCGTCCGGTGTGAACGCAGCATTAGAGTAATAAACGTTATCTGCAGCCCTAACACTAATGCCCCTAGTGGCTAAGACTAGCCACTACGTGAGCTAGACCTGTAACTTCCAGGTTCAGCTCCCCTGAAGGCGATCGGTGTCCCACTGTGTTTTATATTCTATTAGAAAACTGAACACTTGTGTCATCAAAGATGCTGTCGTTTGTTCTTGAATTCAAAGTACACAGCTAAATCTGGCCCGGGGCTTCTGGCTCTCCTGCGTCCTCCAAAACCCTGACCACCCAGGGTGCAGACCAGGAAGCAGAGTTGTAGTTTAACACACATCTCTGCAGCTTCTCTACTGTTACCCACTCTTTACTCCATCCAGACAGTGTCTTGCCCACGACCAAAATCTAATAAATTAGCAAAGATTCCCAAAGGAGTAAATCATGACAATCTAATTAAAATCAAAATAACTCCAATTGGGGAAAAAGTTAAAACAATTAAATCTTTTTAACATAAGATCGCTTTCCTCTAAAAGTCTACTAGTTAATGACTTGATTTGTGATAATCACATTGACTTGTTTTGCCTTACAGAAACCTGGCTGCAGCAAGAGGATTATGTGAGCATAAATGAGGCAACTCCTTCAAGCTATTTAAATTTTCACATACCCAGAAGTTCTGGGCGAGGAGGAGGAGTAGCAACAATCTTCCAGTCTGACTTACTGATTACTCCCAAAACAATTAATACCTACAACTCTTTTGAACATTTAACCCTTAATTTCCCTGATCCAAATTTCAAGGCAAGAAAACCTCTTCTTTTTGTAACTTTGTATCGTCCACCAGGTCCTTACTCTGAATTTTTAGATGAGTTTTCAGAGTTCCTTTCTGATTTGGTATTAAATACTGACAGGGTCATCATAGTGGGAGATTTTAACATCCATGCTGACATTGAAGGCGATAGCTTAAGAGCAGCCTTTAATGCTATCTTAGACACTATTGGCTTTGTTCAAAATGTGAATAGTCCCACGCATTCTCATCTTCATACTTTGGATCTTGTGCTGACATATGGCATAGAATGTGAAGAAATAACAGAGTTCTCCTCCCCCAAAAGAAGGTTCAATTTTAGTAGATCTTTATCAGATAGTGCAGTTATAAATTTTAAAGAATCCGCTTCACTTTCTCTCTCCTCTGTGTCACTGAGCAGTGCTGCAGAGTGCAAAAGCTTAGCTTATTCCCCTTCACAGGTTGATGATTTTGTTGATGGGGTTGCTAGTTCTCTGCGTATTGCCTTAGACAACGCAGCTCCTTTGAAAATGAAAACCGTTAAAAATAGAAAGCTTGCTCCTTGGTTTAATGCAGAGCTGCGTACTTTGAAGCAAAATGCTAGGAAACTGGAGAGAAAATATCGCTCCACAGGCCTGCGAGAGTCCTTCCTAGTCTGGAAAAATGGTTTACTGCTGTATAAGAGGACTCTTTGTAAAGCAAGAGCAGCATACTTCTCCTCATTAATAGAGGAGAATAAGAATAATCCTAGATTTCTTTTTAATACAGTTGCCAAACTCACCCAGAGCCATAGCTCTGTTGAACCGTCCATTCCACCTGCTCTTAGCAGCAATGATTTTATGGGATTCTTTATAAATAAGATTGATCTTATTAAAAATAAGATCATAAGCACTCTTCTATCCGCGATTGTACCTGAGGTAGTCATGGAATCTTTAGACTGGGTTTAGACTGCTTTGATCCAGTTGAACTCTCTGAATTAGCAAAATTATTGTCTTCATCTAAGCCTTCAACTTGTATGTTAGATCCAGTTCCAACCAGGTTATTTAAGGAGGTATTCCCTTTGATCTCCTCCTCCATTTTAGATGTGATTAATCTATCTCTGTTACAGGGATATGTACCTAAAGCTTTTAAGGTTGCTGTAATTAAACCTCTGCTTAAGAAACCGTCTCTTGACCCAGATGACTTGGTCAATTATAGACCTATATCCAATCTTCCTTTCTTATCCAAAATTCTTGAGAAAGTAGTTGCCAAACAAGTTTGCGATCACTTCCACCATAATGAACTTTTTGAAGAGTTTCAGTCTGGCTTTAGAGCTCATCATAGCACTGAAACAGCTCTGGTGAAAGTCACTAATGATATTCTCATGGCCTCAGATAATGGACTTGTATCTGTGCTCGTCCTGTTGGATCTTAGTGCTGCATTTGATACAGTTGACCATAATATTCTTTTAGAAAGACTTGAATATTTTGTTGGAATTAAAGGAACAGCACTAGACTGGTTTAAATCTTATCTATCTGATCGAATTCAGTTTGTTCATGTTAATGATAGATCTTCAACACGCTCAAAGGTTACCTGTGGAGTACCACAGGGATCAGTGCTAGGACCAATTCTCTTTACTTTATACATGCTCCCAATTGGTAGAATTATTAGACAGCATGGGATTAATTTCCACTGTTACGCTGATGATACCCAGCTATATCTGTCTATAAATCCAGATGAAGCTAACCCATTACATAGATTACAGGCATGTCTTGAAGACATAAAAACCTGGATGACTCTTAACTTTCTGCTCCTGAATGCAGACAAAACAGAAGGTATAGTCTTTGGACCAGAGTCTCTGAAAAAGAAACTGATTAGCCAGTCACTTCATTTGGATGGGATTAAACTGATTTCAGATAATAAAGTAAAAAATCTTGGTGTTATTTTTGATCAGGACCTGTCATTTAAATCCCACATCAAAGAGGTTTCTAGAATTTCCTTCTTTCATCTGAGGAACATTACAAAAATTAGAAATCTCCTGTCCAGGGGTGATGCTGAGAAACTAGTCCATGCATTTGTTACTTCAAGGCTGGACTATTGTAATTCTTTACTATCAGGAAGTCCACAAACTGTAGTTAAAAGCCTTCAGCTGATCCAAAATGCTGCAGCCAGAGTTCTAATGAAAATTAAAAAGAGAGATCATATCTCGCCTATCCTGGCTTCTCTTCATTGGCTTCCTGTTAAATCAAGAATAGAATTTAAAATCCTCCTTCTCACATATAAAGCCTTAAATGGCCAAGCTCCATCTTATATCAGAGATCTGATTGTTCCTTATGTTCCTAACAGAGCACTTCGCTCTCAATCTGCAGGTTTACTAATGGTTCCTAGAATTTCTAAAAGTAGAATGGGAGGCAGATCTTTTAGTTATCAGGCTCCTCTCCTGTGGAACCAACTACCAGTTTTAGTCCGTGAGGCAGACACCCTGTCTACTTTTAAGACTAGGCTTAAAACTTTCCTTTTTGATAAAGCTTATAGTTAGAGTGGCTCAGGTTATCCTGAGCTATCTCTATAGTTATGCTGCTATAGGCTTAGACTTTTGGAGGACATAGGGACCCCCATTTCATCATTCTGCTTCATTCTCTCTCTGTTCTCCTATTCTGCAGAATCTGTTAGTTCAATCTCTAACCTTCTGCTCTCTCTGCTTTTCCTCAGAGTAGCTTTGCCTCGTCTGTTCCTGTTTGGCTGTGACGTCATCCTGGAAAGAAACATCAGCTGTGCTGCTTCTATCAACACCCTTGTTTATAGATGTTGGAGATCGGCCTGTTTTCCAGTGTGGTCCTGTTTCTCTGACCGTGACTGAGTGGATGTGCTCTCTTCGTCCTCTGGCATGGGAGCTGCCTTGGAGCTCGTCTGCCTGGCTGGGTGTTTCCTGGACGGGGCCGCCTTTTACAGCTGCTTTTTGTATCTCTGCTTCTGTCTCCTTGAACCCCAGTCGGCCTTGGCAGATGGCCGCTCACACTGAGCCTGGTTCTGCTGGAGGTTTCTTCCTGTTAAAAGGGAGTTTTTCCTCTCCACTGTCACTACAAGCATGCTTAGTGTGGGGGATTGTATTTGAGTCAATGAGTCAATGCAATCAACTGGTTTTCCTTAGATAGAAAACTTTGTATCAATTTGACTGTATGATCTGGTTGAACTGTAAAGTGCCTTGAGATGACATGTGTTGTGAATTTGGCGCTATATAAATAAACTGAATTGAATTGAATTCTACCATGTATTTGTGTAGTTGTTGCCTGGTTTCTGCAGTATAGGAGCTTGAACCGTCCATGCTGCATTGGAATGTACAAATTAACCAAGATTCCTGGATATGTGTGGGAATGCTTTCAGAAAAGCCATGGCCTCCGATCAAAGTCTGTTCTGTGGTTACCATGCCCCAGATGACAGAGTTTGCTCAGGCAGTTATTGTGTAGCAAAGAACCTTTCTGCATGGTCAGTTCTATAAAAAGAAAAACAACAACCCTTAACCATGAAGACGTTTCCTTTGCAAATGCTCAATCACCTTCCGTCTCTTCTTGTCTGTCTCCTTGTACAGATGAAGGCGAAGGTTGCGGACGGCCGGCAGGTTGTTGAACTCAAAGTGCTCGCCCCAGAAAACGGTGTCAGTGCGGGGCTTGCTGGTGGTGCGTGCATACAGCATGTCGTCCAGGCACAGCTCACAGTAGTAGCGCTTCTTAGCCGGCAGCTCGCGGGCTTCGATTATCCACAGCTTGAGCACGTTGTCTACCCGCCGACTGTTGTCCTGTATGAAGAAGAAACCAGCTCAAAGACAGTTTACAGAGCTTACTACCAGGCTTTCAAATATCTTTGCAGATTGAAGATGATATGAGTAATGGAGAAAGATATGAAAATACAAAAAGTATAACAACTAGAAACTCAAGGACAGAAAGGAGAAGACAGAGAAGCTGAAAAATGGGCAACAGCAGGTCATCCTGCAGGGGAGAGACATGACTAAGGATGCACTGATTTGTCTCAAAGTTGAGAAGCTCTAAATTCTTAACACAGAGGAAGTTAACAGCATGACAGACACACAAAAGACAAATGACAGAAAAATGTAAAAGAACAATCCTGCATTTGATCTGTGCAACAAAGACACAAAAGATCGTAATTATGCTTTTGTGATAAGTCCTCATTAAGATCACAAAGTCTGTGTTATTTTTGACAACTCCTGCTACAGGAAAGGAGCGTGCTGATTGGAGAACGACTTTTCAGCTCAATCACCGTCCTTAACCGCTCATTTTAAACCCGACGTACAGCATGTTCTTCAGGAAACCATTTTTATATTCGGTGTCGAATGAGAGGCGTAATTATTTCCAAACCCGTGACTTTGAATGTTTTTGGGCATCTGGTGTCTCAGTTTGGCAGAGCAGCAGCAGCACCAGTAGGGGACCTGCTTCTCAGCCTTGAAATCATCACATGCCTTCTTTCTTTCTGTTATATCTCAGATTTGACTCCAAACACATGAGCGTGGATATGCTGCTCTGATCTGTCATGAAAGACAAAGACCTCAAAAGAGAATCTAAGGGGCAGGGAAGTTAAAAAGAATGGAGATAATCCTAATCTCTGCAGTGAGCCCCGTCTCCACCCGTAAGTCTGGTCGGAGATGCATGACTGGTGACGTTCAGGCGTAGGAGGGGAGAGATTTATCGGCGAGAACATCCGTTAGGAATCCTCAGAGCTCCGTGACTCAGCCAGGACCCCTGCAGCCGAAGCATCTGGACGGAGAACATCCAGCTCGCATGATGTTTCATGGAGGACGGGTTTAATTTGTCTCCAGTCCCCGGATGCTATCAAAGCCGCACATCTCACATGTCTGCTCACTTTTAATAAGAGACGAGAGGAGAACCGGACGATTTCAGAGAACTATCACATCTGCAGGGAAATCATTGATATTACTTGTTGCTGAGATCAGTTAAATTAAAGATGAGAGGATGAGAATATAATCTTACTACACAGGAAGGATGTTTTTATACAGAACACAAAGATTGAGATTGTGGAGCATTTGGAGCTTAATTCAACACAGACGTTGTTTAGCAGATGTTAAGGTGCACCTTTAGCATATTTTAGGATAAGATTTAACACCTCTAGGTTAGGGGGCATAAAGCGGAAAGTTTTACAGCACAGTGGGATGTTATGTCAGAACATCCCAAATGGCTGTAGGAAGGTTGATCTGAAAGCAGCACAACAAAAAAGCTTGCTAATGTTTTTTAATCCAACTCAGCTCACATAGAAACATTTCTTTTCACAATAATCCACCAGCTTGATAACCTGACTCCGCCAGATGGATTTGCTGGATTTGCTCCGCATATCGATCTGGAAACCTTCCGTTGAAGTAATTTTGGGAAGGGGCGAAAATACTGGTTAGCTGATTGGCCTATGTTGGTGATAGACGGGCCAAATAAACCAATCAGATCAACGAAGCATATGACGTACTAACAGAGCGACGAAGAAGAGGAGCCAATTAATAGATGAAACTCTTGCCGAAACCAGTCGGGAGAAGAGCAAAAACATCTTTTCCTCTGAGAAAAGCCTCCAGAGCAGTGTTTTGCTCTTCTTTCAGTGAAGAAATACTCTGTTATTCTGATAAAACTTGCTCGATAGCCACGCTAACGCTAGTTTCATCGGCTGAAGCCGCCATGTTCTTTAGACTGAACTGTCGCGCTTCTCGTTGCGTCACACCTCAACCCGCCTCAAAGCCAACGCTGATTGGACGTTCGTTTGGTGAACGGCTCCAGATTTTCTTTAACGGAGAGTCTCCGAACTGATCTGCGAGTGAAACCTTGAAAGCTCGCGAGATCAGGATGGTCTCACGAGGCTACCAGTTTGAGATGATTTCAACAAAAACTGATTGGAATTCTCTTCAGCAGATGAAGGTGTTGCGTAAAAGTTTTAAACCCTTTCTTTCGTTCTTCACCTAAAACAGGGTAAAAAATCCTTTAAAGCGATCGAGATGAACCTTTCTGAAGGTTTTTTCTTTGGACTTTGGCTGCACTAACTTCCATCAGATATAGACCAATATTTTTTAATTTATTTTTGGGTTTTTACGGCACTAGTGGCTCGTTTTTTCAGACAGTAGGCTGACAGGAAAGGGGGTATGAGAGAGAGGGAGAGACATGTGGCAAAGGCCCACATTTGGCCGTGTCGAGGACTAAGGCCTTCGTACATGGGTCGTGCGCATTAACCACTGCGCCACCTGCATGCCCATAGACCGATAATTAAAATAAGAAATAAAAAGGTCCTGCCAAGACCTGAAAAAATATCTCACATAGACATCGCCTGAAGTGAACACTTCACTAACACTGTTTTTAGTGGGTGTGGGGAGCTGCTGACCTTGAAGGAGGATATTGTCGGGCGGTGGAAGGAATACTTTGAGGATCTCCTCAACCCGACAGACATGCCTTCCATGGGGGAAGAAGAGACGAGGTGCTTGGGGCTGATTTTCGAGTTTGAAAATTCTCGCTGGTTCCGCCATGATAACTGCACAAATATTGCCACTGCGCTAGCAACGAGCATGCCTTTCACTGGGGGCGTGTAGCAGTTCTCGTCGTAAAGCAAGACCGACTCTCGCGATGCACGAGACTTCTGAGCCTGTGGGTGCGGGCCGAGGGCTCCTGCAATTGCAAGTACGGTATTTCCCCTACAGACCACCAGGGCGGCAGAGAAAACCTTTGTTCGACCTGAAATGACTCATTTAATCATCCAAAATGTTATGGAACACATTAATTAACTGAAAAATGTTGCATAGTATGCCTTTAAGGCAAAATCAATCCATTAGCTGTGGCATCACAAGTTAATTTGCTTTGCTTTTCTATGGAGCTAGTCAAAAAAAAGAAAAAAAAAAGAAAAGCAGCAGCACATTTTGTGTATTTTTGCTAAATAAAACAACTTGAATTGAAATAAATTATCGTGATAATGCAGCTGCCATCTACTTCCTGCAGCTAAGCTAAGCTACCCAAACCCATCTCCATGCATGAGGTGGTTTTGTCAGGCTGCTTCTCCTGTATGGAAGCAAAGGTGTCCCAGTTTTCTTATTGAAAAAGATAAAAGTTTTTCCTTCATCACAATAATAATACAAACAGTATTTACATTTTCTTCTCCAATTAATTAAAAATGATAAATAAACTAACTTTTAACATCTCAATTTTGAAAATATGTCCCTGCAAAAATTGACCAAAATTTATTTCAAAATATCAAATTTAAAAATACACATTTAATAGCAGAAATAATTTTTTATTTCAAATTAAAGCTGAACTTTTTATATATCAACCAAAACTGTATTCCTTTCAGATGACGTGTTTCTATTGGTCAGCGGGGATCTTAGCAACAACATTTTTACTGTAAAACAGCAAACACTTTTATTGAAAATAGTAAAATTAGAAAATACAAAAGCTGTAAAAAAAATTAAGAAATAACTGAATAACAAACATTTGGAACATAAAATATGAAAAAATTTGAAAAAGTATAAGAAGCTTATAATAAGAAAATAGCAAACTGTCAAATAGAATATCCAACTTGAAAACTAAAATGTATTAACAAAAATTATAAATTATAAATGACTTTTTTTTTTCATTTTCAAGTCAGAGCTGCATTTTTTAACTCAAATAAAATTACTAATAACTCAGAAATGCTCTTCATCCTCCACTTTAAGACTGCTCGCTATGGAGGACAAATTCACACATAATCAAAAATAAATCCAGACTTAATACTGATAACCCATTTCAATCAGAAAATTGGGACACATCTGCTTCCATACATGAACAATAAAACACCTAACAGATAGATAAAAGGAAAAAAACAGCAATCAAAGTCCAAAGATTCCAAAAAATGTATTTATAGCTTCAGAAAACTTAAAGCCCTACTGATTAAAACAATTTTAAAGGACTTTCTGTCTGCTGACTGGAAAAGAATCAATAAAGAAAATGGAGACGACTTTTTAGGACCAGACCTTGTACATGTGTCTAAACTGATCATATATACGGCGGCCCTTAAGTGCAAACTGCAACTACAAATCTAAAAGCGCAACTACATTAAGGAAATCGCAACTACATTAAGAAAAACAAAACTACATAAAGCAAAGCGCAACTACATTAAGAAAAAAAACTACATAAAGCAAAATGCAACTACATTAAGGAAAACACAATTACATTAAACTACCGGAAAAGGTAGGTACCAGTGGGAAACATGAGACATAATTGACCCTTGAACCTGAAGTTGCGTCGTCTGAACAGTCCAGCTTCTTTTAAGTGTGTCTTCAGTGTACGCAAACTAACTGAAATTTCGTGATTAGCCTTGAGCATATCCAGTATCACCTCGTACGTATGTCCTGATTCAAAATATTTCTGGATAACGGTAGCTATGTTTGGGGCGCCGACAATATCCATGTTTTCAAAAGCCGCAGCAGGCAGAATGACTTCCGGTTCAAGGGTCAAACGGCGCCGTCGTCCAATCAGCGATGTCTCATGTTTCCCACTGGTACCTACCTTTTTCCGGTAGGTTAATGTAGTTGCGATTTCCTTAATGTAGTTGCGCTTTTAGATTTGTAGTTGCAGTTTGCACTTCAGGGACACCGTACATATATCCTTCTAGCAAAAGAATAAATACTAGAAAAGTATTACATAATGGTGTTGAGTTGTGAATTACATAAAAAAATTTGAGTTTTGAACATTAGTCTGTAGATGAGGCTCCATTTCCACCCTTAGCTCTTGATTATTCACTTGGACTGACATCCCTCTGTAACGTTGTCCAGTCATTTTATTAGATAACTCTGTCCAATAGAAATGTTCATTTAAGAAGTTAACTCCACTTAAAGGCAACAAGATCAGGTGCATATCCCATTTTGATGAACTGGTTCACGCAGGAGGCCCAGCAGTGAGAAAGCCCCGGAGTCGGCCATGTCGGCTTGTTTTCTCTCCTCTCCTCCCAGCGACTCACTATCATTGAGCATCAGCTTTCACAGACACGCTGAGCTGCTGTACATCAACCTGCTGTGCACAATTTACCTAAATCACATTACCCGATTAGCGTTTTTTTTTTTTTTGAAACAGCAACGGAGACCCTCCGTCCTGAAACATTAACCTGTGAGGCTCTAACACTTTGCTCGCAGACGCAGCTAAATTGTTTGACACAGACACACACACACACACAGACATGCGGATGGAGTTCACACAGAGAAATGAAGCGGTGCGCTCTTATTGGAAAAAACAAACAACAACAACAGGAGACGGGGAGGAGAGAGAGAGACACACAGACACGGGGATCATCCGCATCCCTTTCTCTCCCCTCACCTTGTTGGGCTTGACAGCTCTCTGCAGGTTCTCGATCCATTTGTCTCTCTCTGCGGCTGAACGACACGCAAAGCACTTGGTTCCTGAAGCCGTTGTCACCTGAGGTTATAGGCAACGGTACCACAGCCATCAGTCACTATGGAGAGAGCAACTAAGGCGCCAAAACAAAGGCTAAAGTTTCCACTAATGAAAGGTGATGGAAAACCTCATCAAATTAATGCTGATTTTAGAAACAAAACTTGATGATGGGGTTTATTTTGTGTTCTTTCTGCTTAGAGTGTTCCTCTGCTGTTACTGCTCCGTCATGCACCGCAGCTCTCACCTCAAAGCAGTACTCTTGTCCCAGGATGCTGGAGTGAACAGGTTTGATGATGGCGTCCTCATCCAGAGTGAGGTCCAGCGCCTCGGCAGCGCTGCTGGGAGACAGCAGGGACTCATGGGAGTGCGACTCTTTGAAGCTCTGCATCAAACGGGTCCTGGGAGAGCAACGGTTGGTCAGATGTTGGTGCACAGTGGGAAGGAAGGGAGGAGGTTATTCCAGCATAATGAGTTCCCTTCATGTCAACATCTATATGTTAATTCTAACATTGAGAGCACTTTTCATTCCAGCTCATAAAGTCCAAATAATACATTAGGATGGGATGTAATGTATGCAGATAGTCCTTTTAAAGTGAACACATTTCTCCTGCACTTCAATTTTGATGCGATGTTAATGAGAATGTAAAAGCTCTTGAGGTTCGAGCCCAACATTCAAACAAACTTTCATGTTTTTTAAAGTTCAGTCCAATTCATGATGCACGTTGAACGATAAAGGTACTATGACACATTTCTTGATATTTGTCTTGAAATGTATACACCAGTAACTTATGCTCTTTGCATACAACGTTTCTGTGACTAATTACAGTGCCCTCACTGCAAAAACAATCTAGAAATAAGTAAAAAATTTCTAAAATTAAGTGTATTTACCCTTAATTTCAGTAGGTAAATAAGACGATTTGCCAATGGAATGAGTATATTTACTCCTAAGGTAAGATAATTAGATATTATGCACCTAAAATAGGACACTGCAATTGTTTTTTCTTGTTTTAAATACAAATTATCTTGTTCTATTGGCAATGTGTCTCACTTACCTGCTCAATTCAAGAAAAAAACAATTATTTTAAGCAAAAATTACTTATTTAGATTTAAATTTTTTGCAGCTGCTGCCATATTTTAAATTTTGTCCTCTAAGCTTAGTTTTTGCTCAATGTGTTAGTAACTGTGTCCTTTCTGTGTATTTTAACCATGAAAACATCATGTGACCAGGAATACATCACTGTGCATGCATACAATTTGTCAACAAGCTAAAGAAATGGAGATCATGGAGTTTGCAACTCCCAACTAAGGCCCCGTCCACACGAAGTCAAACCCTGGCCTAAATTTACAAATTTTTCACCAAACCAGCCTCTCATCCATACGAAGCCGGCGTTTCGGGGTCTGTAAATGATCTTTTTTTTATTCAGCCTTCAGATTTTGAAACGCCGTTTTCGCGTTTCCATCTTTAAGCTCTAACCACATTTTTTTTTTTTACACGCATGCGTCATAGCGTCGCCTCTAAACACGCATGCCCGACACAGTATCACAACAACAATGGCGCCGTCCTGTGTTGAATGGTTGCTGCTCATGCTACTCACCCTGCTGTCGGGCTTACAACAGAATCTTCTTCTTCTGGAATATCTCCAGGAAGAACAGAGCAATATCGACCACATAGTTCAGCACCTGAATTTGACTGAACCACGAAAATGGACCCGCAGGGCAACAATGTATAAATATTAGTGCGCATGCCCAACATTTCGTTGCCTGTTTTTGCCTATTTTTGCTTTGGCGCCACTTACAGGCCTGGCATACATTTTGCAGCGTTTTCATGCATTCATGTGGACGATCACATATATTTTACGTCTCCGTCTTTAAGACAAACGTTCTGGAAAATATTAGCGTTTCGTGTTCGTTTTGACTTTGTGTGGACGGGGCCAAAGTTGCAAAAGAACGAAAGCTCTAGATGAGGTGTAAAAAGGGGCAAGAAGATTTTAAAAGGTGATTAAATAGGAGTTGAACTGTATAAAACTTCTGTTGGAGTTCACTAAAGCTGGAGCTAAAGCTCAGGAAGTTTTCTGATGTGGCTGCCAAGTTGATAATAGCGCTAATAGTGTTAGCAAAGCTTTTCACCTCTATCTGCTAAGCTGTTAGTTTTCCTCAAGGTATTACATCACGGCCGGGACTTATTTAGTAGTTGCATTAAGAGAATAAGAGACGCCTGCAGATGGCGGCACATTTGTTTATGTCAGCTCATTGCACCCTGTGCTGAGGTTCTGTTTAGGCTAAATACTATCAGGATTACATAGGAGTATTTAGCCTTTATGGGTGATTATATCGTCATTTGGAATCTCTATCTTTACAAAGAGTTTTAAACAACATAAAATACATCAAATAAACAAATAAAATCAAGTATTACAAATTATCTGGTTCTATTGGCAAAGTGTCTCACTTACCTGCTCAATTCAAGAAAAAAACAATTATTTTAAGCAAAAATTACTTGTTTAAATTTACATTTTTTGCAATGCTGCTGCCATAATATTTTAAATTTTTTCCTCTAAGCTTAGTTTTTGCTCAATGTGTTAGTAAATGTGGCCTTTCTGTGTATTTTAACCATGGAAACATCATGTGACCAGGAATACATCACTGTGCATGCATACAATTAGTCAACAAGCCAAAGAAATGGAGATCAGTGAGTTTGCAACTCCCAACAAAGTTGTAAAAGAACAAAAGCTCTAGATGAGGAGTAAAAAGGGGCAAGAAGATTTTAAAAGGTGATTAAATTGGAGTTGAACTGTATAAAACTTCTGTTGGAGTATTTAGCCTTATTTTTATTATAATCAAGCAGTGGGCCTTTTTGTTAAAGACACAATGTGACTATTTATGGGTGATTTGGAATCTCTATCTTTACAAAGAGTTTTAAACAACATAAAATACATCAGATAAACAATTAAAATCAAGTATTATTAAACAATGGCATAAATATCTCCATATGATATAATGATAACCTACATCGAGAGATGGAGATAGAGTTGTTTTAGTTTTAATAATCCAATAAAACCTAAGTAAATGGGGGAAGAATGGTCCCTCTATACACAAAAATGATTCATATCTAAATTAAAACATGGTTAAAACAAGTTTTTCATGAGAACTACAGATCCAATTTCATATTGAACTGGATCTGTGAGGTTTTTGCTCATGTTTATTTTATGAATATCTTAACGGTTTATTCTTACATTTCTATTCTACAGTTATAATTGTTAGATGAGAAAACATTTGTTTTATAAATGAAGAAATTACTGTCATTTTTAAGGGTGTAGTGAAAAATAATTCTGAAGTTTTAAATGAGGTTTTAATTTTGTTAGAAAAGTAGAGTAGATTTAGCACATGAAGGATGATCGTATAGTTTTAGTAAAGTTTTTCCATTTCTGCTCCTTTCCATGTTACTCTGCAAAAAAAGAATTTATAACATGAAAGATCTATGAAAATCAACAAATGAAAGTCAGTCATTGCATTTTAACCATCTTTAAAGAGAATGATTTTACAAAATAATCTAAAATCATCTCGCTTGTTTTGTTCACATTCAGGATCAGTTGGTTGATTCCACACCAGCTTTCTGTACTCAGCTTCTTGTCCATGTCTGATTGAGCGACTTCAGATTTAATTGAGGATTTCTGCAGATGACAGGACTCTGTCTTGTTAACTTGTGATGGTTACTATGGTTACACATCATAAAAAATGCCCAAAATAAAAACATACTGGTAAAAAAATCCTTTCACCTGCACAGCATCCAACATCAGAGGTTAAGAATACCAGAAGAACAGAAAATATGATTTAAAAAATGAAGGAACTGAAGTTCTTGAAAAGAAAATCAGAAGTCAGAAAATCAGAAGTCTAGATCCTTTATCAGTAATAACTCTTAAATTGAACTCTCTAACTTTCTTATATCATTCCGCAGGGATTCAGTTTGTCTTTGTATCGTTTCTCTCCACCACAATTCAATGGGGGGAAGGTGTGACCTCTCTGGGCTGAGCTGTCAGAGAGATGGCCTCACATTATTTTACTAATTGGAAGATTTCACGATTTGCACCAGGACTGCAAGATGCGTGTGGTCCTGAAGCTTAGCAACAATCCCACATCGTTCTTCCGCAGTCTTTCCGTTCTTTCAAATGCAACTTTGACAACTTAAGAAATGCTCCATCCATCCATTTTCTGTCACGCTTATCCCATGTGGGGACGCAAAGGGAGGAAGCTGGAGTACCTGGAAAGAGCCCGACCATGCACAGAGAGAACATGCAAACTCCATGCAGAAAGACCCTTGGCCTGCGCATCGAATCTGGAACCTTCTTGCTGCAAGGCAGCAGTGCTACCCAATGCTCCACTATGTAGCCGCTGCTGATTTCCTTTTAGGGAAAAGAGATTTTCTCTTGTAAACCTCCCAAACAAGTAAAAAAAATCTGTCTTTTTTTCTTGAAACTTAAACATTTAGCATCCTCACTGAGTTCTGTGTATTCTGGGATGAAGCTTTTTCTTTTAATTTAAAGGAATAGTACACCCAAAACATGATTAGCCTTCATTTTCTACTCACCCCCATGCTGAACAACACCCTGGAGTACTTTTTTGATATCTCAAATGCATCTGGAGATCTGGGAGGCTTCTTGCTGTCTGCTGACATTCAAATAATGGAGGTTTATGGCGCCCGAGGCAGAAAGGTCCATAAAAGTCCACAAAAAACGTGTCAATATTCCTCCATACTGCTCGTCCAATGTATTCCAAGTGTCCTGAGTGGGTAGCATCCAGAATTTACTCGAAACGAAGTCATTTAGAATGTTTTTAGAGCATAAACAGTAGTGTATAGGATTTCCTGAAAGCGCGTTGACGAGTCTACGGAAACCGCGGCAGACCAAACCAGATGAAAGTGCGCATTCAGCTCGGCAAAGAACTCATGCTCTTCCTCAACACTGAAGTCCTCAGACATTTTTCTTTCGTTGTTTCTTTCTTTGCACAGGTAAACAGCATATTTCTTCTTCTACGCTTGCATTATCGGCAGAGCAGACGCTGAATGCGCACTTTCATCTGGTTTGGTCTGCCGCGGTTTCCGTAGACTCGTGAACGCGCTTTCAGGAAATCCTATACACTACTGTTTATGCTCTAAAAACATTCTAAATGACTTCGTTTCGAGTAAATTCTGGACGCTACCCACTCAGGACACTTGGAATACATTGGACGAGCAGTATGGAGAAATATTGACACGTTTTTTGTGGACTTTTATGGACCTTTCTGCCTCGGGCGCCATAGACCTCCATTATTTGAATGTCAGCAGACAGCAAGAAGCCTCCCAGATCTCCAGATGCATTTGAGATATCAAAAAAGTACTCCAGAGTGTTGTTCAGCATGGGGGTGA